ATTGTGTGTGTAACAAAATGTAACCTCCCTGAAATAAAATTATAGATTTGCTACTGGGGTTAAGGGAATTGGCGATTTAATGTGTTACTATAAACTTACCGATTAAATCAAATTACCGAGAGAAAGTATCAGAGCACAGTGGTTTCACAACGCATTAGAGTCCAGGTTTCTGTATTCTTTTGACAAAACCTGTTCATTTATTGCCATTTTATCAACTCTATAGGTTAGATAATACTAATGACGGATTTATTGTGAGCTATGGTCACGGAGAACTGTGTAAGTCAGCGAACGTGACACGTTTTATGTTATTATCATTGAGTGTGCCTCGAATACTGTACGTTAAACCTCAACGGAAATAACAGAGTTTCGAACATGGAACCTCTATAATATAGATACGCTCTGGAAGTGAAGCTGTCAAATCACCGAAGTGCTCTACCTTGAGCTGAAGGGACGTTTGCGATGAGTCTGAGAATTTTCTTCGCCGAACACTCCCCCCCCCACCCCACCTCCGTGGCTGTGAAAACGTTAAACGTGCTGTTGTGATTGAAAAAGAAAATCCAATAGTTTCCTCGCCTTTCCTCCACCTTTCCCATATCAGTACCCTTCCTACCGTGAAATTATTAATTTCCAGCGCCTCGAGATTGTCTGTTTGCAATTCATTGCATACTGTCACAATTTAAGGGTGACTATACCTGTAGGTAGAGTGTGGAATGGTGAATGGATTTATTAACCACTTATACACACCACTCGGAACTATGTACAAGTAACTACAGAGTTATAGCTATCTTTACACTTTACAAATCACCACAGCACCCATTAAGCCTCTTTCCAACCTGCTGTCTTCGTCAGCCGTTCCCTGGCAACGGCTTCTAACAGTGGAGATTTTTCAGCTTCATACCCTCAGGTTTAGTCTCCACAGCCTCCCATGCAAAACTCGGATCTCAACGGACAACCGACAACTGACTAGGTCAGAGTCACAGTCATAGTTACTTTACGACTGGCGGTTTACTGCCAATCACTTCGTCTTGGTGACAAGCCCCTTGAGACTCACGACCAGTACGTTCTTTCAACGGAACACTAACGTTCATAACCCTTATGTAACAGCCTCTCTGACGAGAGGATGGGTCTGTCGTTTACAACTGCTGCTGGTCTTTGTCAGCGCAGTCATTCTGAGGCCGAGTCCCGCAGAATTTATGACCACATTTTACTGTCTCGGATTCGATGGAGACTCGCCCAACCTGGAGGGCCAGGGTTGCCCACTTATACCACCAGGCACTGGGTTCCCTTTTCTTCGCCTCCTACGACGCGCAAGGCTACGGTGGAGGTATTGGACCCTCCTCTACGCGGGATTCTGCTGGGTCAGAGTCAGAGTCAGAGCTGCTTTACGACTGACGGTTTACCGCCAATCAGTTCATCTTGGCGACAAGCTCCTTGAATACGAGTAGTAATTCTATTTTCCAACTGAAAACTTGCGATTGTAGTCCGTATATAACATCCTCTCTGACGAGAGGATGGGTCTGTCGTGTATAAATGCTACTGGTTTCGCCAGCGCATTCATTCTCATGTTCGAGTCCCGCGGGAGTCATGACTACATTTTACTGTCTCAGATTCGAGATTCCCCAGGAACAGAGTGGCTCAGTTATGCCGCCAGGCACTGGGTTTCCGTTTCGTCGCCTCCTACGACTCTCAGGGCTACGGTGGTGTTGGACCCCCACTGCTGAGTCCCCTCTATTATCTTCCTTATAAACACTTTGCACGCACCCAGTATAAAACACCGTTTCCAACACTAACTCAATTTTGTGTGTATTCGTTGCCGCGGGAGCGTGCTTACCGATTCGTTGCCTAGAACGGGTTGCATATCACCGTTGTTTATTCACCTACTGCATATCAACGGCTGTACACGCTACAGTATGTTGATTACGTAAAAGAAGGAACTTGTAATCCGTAGAAACGTAGAAAGTTTTATTTTAAGGAGGAAGAGCATTCTTCCGTGGGTCTTTACTTCATATAGGTACAGCAGTAGAACTCTTCCTGTTGTGTTAGTAGTATATTTAAATGGTAATTATGCAGTTCATAATTAGCATTTGTAGACCTATCTATAAGCTCCAATGTTCGTCTATCCACCTGACTGTCTGTCTATCTGTCTGACCATGTTTCAACCAAATTGCGCCTCGCAGCAGTATACAAAAATGTCCTGAAGAGACAACCGTGGGAAATTTAATTGTGCTGTTGCTTGCATGGGTTCGAGACCAAGGCAGCTTATTTCCCCAATGTTTCCTCTATTTCGCTTAGTGGGGGTGGAGTCGAACTGGGTTCACTCGGCACGGCGGCCACTGATTGGCCTATTGTATTTTCCCCGGGTGATTATGACGATGGAGAATTTGGTGGAATGAATATTGGCAGGGGAAACGGAAGTACTCGGAGAAAATCCGCCCCACCACCACTTTGCCCACCACAAATCTCACTTGACCAGACCTGGGATCGAACCCGGGCCACCTCGGTGGGAAACCAGCGACCAACCGCTTGAGCTATAGCGAGGCCTGTGTTTCCTCCATTATCAAGGTTTCAGGATCGTGACGTACCCTTATAAAGTGACTGATGAAATTGTTTTTTCTAGATATATGGGAAAACAGAATAGCATTCTCCAATTTGAATTGTCCTTGACTTTTTTTTAATGCAATATTTGACTTGTTACGGTTGTTCCCTGCCGATCACAGTGGTCGCGCGGTCTAAGACATGAACTATCTTCGCTCTCTCGATCGCTGGGATCGTGGGAGCGAATCCCACTCAAGGCATGGATGTCAGTATTGTTTGCATATATATTCTGTGTATAGGTAGAAGCCTTGTGACAAGCTGATCTCCCGTCCAAGGAGTCCTGCCTATGTATAGGATCAAGATACTCAAAGAGCGGCGATGGGCCAACAAAGGGCTGTGCAGCCATACTACTACGACTACTACTAGTACTACAACTGCTACTACTACTAATAATAATAATATTGTAGTTACCAAATACCTGAGGTCCTCGTTACTTTATATTACGACTATATCCAGCATTTCATGTGAGGATTCATGAACGTTGATCCTGTACTTAGTTTTTTATTCGATTGCCTCAAGACCCAGGTTCCTGACTACCGTCTAATGGAGCTTCTGCGTTTGTGTCTACTGCATTTATTTATTTCCCATAGGCTAGAAGCTGAGGTATCCTACTTCCTTTATCTTATGCGTTCCTGTGATCCGTTCGCAATGTCCGCGGAGCCAAGTGAGACGCGTAGCAAGACAAGTTCAGTTCAGTTATTCAGTATTGAGGGGGTGGGTTTCCCAATGCACCGCGACCGGTTTGATCTACCGGTACTGGTGCTCGCTATCAGCCCCTTTCTGCCAGCGAGGTTTCGGCCTTCTACTGGCCTTTCTGTCAGTGAGGTCGTCCCTCCTCTGGCAGTGGTACCTAATTCTTCCCCATCTACCGGAGGCATTGGAAACTACTTGGGCGGGAAATTTGCCTAATTTAGCTCAGAGGGCTCCTAGAGACATGAGGATCTTTTACGTGCCGTAAATCTAGGAAACGGGACCCACGGATTAAAGTCCCTCCCGGAGGACTTGTTCCCTGAATTTTTCCGTCCTTAAAAATTCCACGACCTCCGCCGGGTTTGAACCCGCGTACCTTGAGTCATGAGATGGGAACGTTACCCGTAGACTACGGAGGCCGCTAGCAAGACAAGTTACAAGCGTAGTTCACAACGCGCCGATTACTCTGTGCGTTCTCGTCCCATTCATTGAAGTGCATACAGTTGCAGACACAGACAGATTGAACTTAATGGTGCCAACTTCTGCTCAGAATGAGCTCCCACATACAACTCACCTCGCTGTACAGATAAAACAACAAAAACAGAGGTATGTACATATATCCTTATTTTACTTACGTCTCTCGACCAGTTTCCGCCCTTAATCGCCATCTGGAGTGGAATTATCTTCCACCCTATTTGCAATCGCTGCTTCGATACTTTCCAGCCTATCATATATCCCACAATCGTGGGTCCTCTTTTTTTATGATATGGCTAACACGGTTTGATAACTTTCCGCTGTTAGGTGCCCTGTTGAGTCTTTTGTTTTATAGCCATTTCGTCAACCCTATTCCTATAAATACATCTTTTTTAGAAACTTAGCCGAGAGTCGCCACCTTCAGCGGTTGTGTCGCTGTCCAGTGAAATATATTTCGAATTTAGTCAGCCTGAAATACTGTTCCAGTTCCAAGTTGTTGTAGGTGACTTTCTTTCTTCAGTTTATGACGCAATGTTCGTTTAAACGTTCTGCATTTTCTGGAACCACCCGTAACATTTCGGGGATAAGGAATTTATTGATTTTCATACGTTCTTTTCATTGGATTGCAGAGATTTCTTACTCTGGATTAGTGTATTTGTAATGTGCAATAAATTTATAATAACTTGCTTCTCGTCCATAGGCCGTCTCTGTGGTCTAGTGGTCAGAGTTCCTGGCTACAGATCCAGAGGCCCTAGGTTCAATTCCCGGCGCTACCAAGTTCTCTGAGACGTAGTGGGTCTGGAACGGGGTCCACTCAGCCTTTTGAGGGTATTCGAGGAGCTGCTTGAATTGAAAAGTAGCGGTTCTGGTTCAGAAAACCGAGATTAACGGCCGCGCCGACCACGTGACACTCTCTATCCACAAAAGATGGCACTAACTTGGCCGACAAGCTGCGCTCGCTTGGTCGGTATAGTTCGCTTGCGGGCTAAAAACACGGAAATTTTATTCTTCTCGGTTATACCAATTTTCATTAGGCATTGGTGTGCACCAGACGGGTGCACCCATGATGCATATTGCTACACGACACGATGTAGACCCTCGCCACTCTCTCCAGATGCCTCTCTCATGTTCAGCTGACGTACTGAACGCCTATCGCAGTAAGAAGATCTTAAGTTTGTTAGCTTGAGAGACCGTAATTCTTGTTGTTGACTTAATTCGACTGTTACTTTCTTATTTTGCAGACGTTGCTGCTAACAGATCCTCCTTCTTTTGAGGTAGAGCGACTGGTGGTGAATGGAACTGCATCACAACTTGCCATCGTGGGGCCCAGAGGTGTGGGGTTGTTGGATTTGCCGAGACGTTGGGGTAAAGAAGCGAACTTCCAGGGTGGAAAACACACTATCACTTGCAGGTAGGATGCAGTTTCACGGATGGCTGTTTTACAGCTGGTTGGTCGGTACACTTCAGAGACCCAAAGAGTGTTACGTATATTGAGCGTGACTCCAATTCAGTCACTTCTGGCAAGAGGTGTCGCGTGAAGGAGCGAGTATAGACGGAGGTTGGTTTGGTAAATGGATGTACTGACCATTTTAGCACACGACTCTTGACTACACTTTACAGTTCACTGTTACACACACGCTAGTGTTCTCAGTCTGTTACAGTCACCACAAATCGTTGCCTAGTAACGGCTTTCAGCGGCGGACTTCCCCTTACTTTGGGTTCCCGGACTCTCCCCTTGCCTTAGCTACCAGCTTCTAACAGCAACAGCTTACAACGACTACACTGCAGTTCTCTGACTAACTCATTAACTCACCTACCAACTCATCACTTCCCTGAACTGCACTTAATGCCCTAATTGAAGTGGGTCGGTCTCCTGGTGTAGCCTTGGAGCGGACCACACAGAAAGCACCACCAACATTACTTCCATTGTTGCGCGCGGGACGCTGCCTACCAACGGCCGTTGTCTCGTTTGTTTCGCTGTCGTTGCCTAGCAACAGGTCTGTACGCCACAGTATAAACATATATTCTTCTGAGCAATGGTGACTTTGTCTGCAATGCATACCCTGGGCTGGGGTGTAACACAGCATATTAGGCCTGACGGAAAGTTTCGACGTGGGAGAAATCTACCGACTGCTTCATCCTCGGGATTGAAATGACAGGAGCTGGGTTCAGAGCCTAGTTTATGCAGGAAAGTGGAATGAGTTTTTAAACGGAGAACGAGGATAAGCAAGTGAGGATACTTACGCATAGCATTTCTGGCACGTTAGCTCTGTTACTGCCTCCAAATTTCAAGTTCCTGATAGTGAAGTTTTTAAATTTAGTAAACAGACTATGCTGACGAGCTGAGACAAAATCGGCCCAGAGCTTCTGGAGTTACGACGTGACTGCATAAAAATTCCTTTTGTCTAGATCTCCAAAATTGCTTTCCAATTTCTATGCAAAGTTTCTTGGAAACATTTTTCTCCGATAAACACTTGAGCGTGTTACGTCGAGTTGCACGCAGAACCACATACAGGTCTTCGCATGGAGTGTACATTTTTACTCGTATTTGTCCGTTTTAACCAAAGCTGGAATGTGCGCAAATTTTAGTAAAGCCCCCCCCCCCCACATCATATTTTTTTTAAAACTACCTTCTGTTTTCGAGTTGTATTCGAGGACAAATATTCGGGATAGAATCCCGATGAGGTCGTTGGGTTTTTTTACAATTTACTTAATCCTTCCAGCAGCACTATGGCTCCCTGAGGTCGACTCAGCCTCTAACAGAAATGGGTACGAGGAATATTCTTGGAATGCTCTTAAGGGTAATGGGCGGCCGGCGCGTAATGCTGACAACCTTACCGCCATCTATGAGCCGATTGTCTAGAAAATGTGGGAACCTCAACATCTCACAACCCTGTGAGCCTCCGTGGCCTGTTACAGGGATACCTTTACTTTACGGG